AAGACCATTCCCACAGGAAGTCCAAATTACAACCAGATAGTACAAACATGGAAAGCAGAAACAGAAACTGTTTGTCAGGGGCTACAGCCCAGCAAATAGTTGATTTCTTTTTTTAATCAATGGCCCTGCCGACAGTGACTTGGTTTCACAAATTTGCATGATTTTGTCCTATCCTTCAGAGTGTTCCCTTGCTTCATAACTGCTTTAATTTACTTACTGTTTCTCATTAATTCAGAATTCAGAGACACTTGCTGGTTCCTAGAACAACAGCCAGCTCCTTTCTCTCTCTTTGTCTCTCTCTCTCTCTTGCACACATACACACACACACAGGCACCTCTTATAAATCAGGACATAAATGAAGAAGACCATTTAGTAAAACTTAACTGTTAACTGATCTCTTTCTGTTCTCTTCAGAATCATTTTGAGAGTCTTGAACATATGGAACCATGATTTATTTCATAGCTGAGTCATTATCTGGAGCCTGTACTTACCCCTTAATGCTGAGACATTATAAACTCCCCTTAAGGTGAAAAACCTAGCTGCTCATAAACAATACTAAATCAGGAGAGTAATAGCTAATTTTAATTTTTCCCCTCTAATTATGATGCTTTGGGAACAACTACTGCTTTATCTTGAGTTTGCCTTCTTCCATGTTCCTCTCCTCTCCCCCCTCACCCATCTCTTCCTTCCCTTGGTTCCTTTCCTCTCTCTTTACCTCCCCTCTCAGGAATGCTCCTCTCTGACAGAGGAAATTCATTCACCTTTTTTTTTTTTGTCTGCCAACAAATCCTTAACATTTATGTCTTAAGGAAAATGACAAGGTAGACAGATGCCCTGAACTTGTCTCTACTTTACTGTAATTATGAAGAAAGGGTTACGTGAGAGACTTCACCATCTCTTGTGCATGAGGAGTGCCTGAAATCCAAACAAATTGCAAACAAATCAGAAGCAACAAAAAAATAGTATGGGTTGCATTTGTTTGGGTTCGCAGACCCTTAATCTTACTTTACCCAATCCTTTTCTTCAGAAGCTGCATCGCCAATTTTGTTGTTCATTCCAACTACACTGTATCCCTTTAATCCATGAATTTAAGCCTATACCAGAATGAAGAGTTTGATGAAGTTATGAAAATAGAACACTCCTGTTGAGGTTAAAATATGAGTAGCAGCTGGGGAAAGAGTCATATTTACTAACAATTGTTTCCTTATTACAGAAAGGAGAAATTTTCCTATTTCTTCTTGAAGATACTTACGGCTCTTCTACTTTCTCTATTTCTACTTTAGTGTCACCAACTTCTCACAGCACTTAACAAATCATACACTGAACTGAGGGGCTGCTCAATGACAGCTAAGCATCCCATGCCTCTGCTTCCGACCAAGGAAAGACACAATCTTGGGATTGTGATCAGTGGTGAAAGAGATTTCTAACATTCATTGAGAAATGAGGCTTTAACAGTTTCCATTTCTTGGAAAACTTCTCCCTTGTTTTTTTTTGATTTCTTCTGATTTTCTCTTTCTGTTTAAAATAATTTCTGTAATGACAATGGAGAAAATTTTCTGCAAACCTTCCGAAGAACTGCAGAACCTTTTCAGACTTCAGTGTCTGAGTGGAGTCCTGTTTTGTTCTACAGCTTTATTCAAAGTCATGGCTCTCCCCTGGCCGTGTGATGCCTTCATTCTCTAGCTCAGAGGAAGTCCTGTGTTTTCTAAGAGGCCACATAAAAGTATTTGTGAATGACAATATTGCAGGGGCCAAAGGGATGTGTCTTCATTTATATATTACCTGCGTCTGATGAAACCATACAAGAAAGTTGAAGGGTTTTCTTCTCTTTGGGCTACCATTTTTCTCCTCCCCTTCCTCCACTTTCTCCCTCTGTAACGGGATAAATGCATTCCTTCCAGTAGGTCTTCTCTATAGTTTGGTTACTCAGAGTTAACTCTGTAACTTATCTCCCAATGATCTATAAACAAAGTTATGCATGGTATATGTTTTAAAGAGAGAGAATTTGAACTAAAATATATAAAGGAATCTTAGAGATTTGCACATTTTTTCTATCTAAACTCAACTTTTAAACACTTCCTAACATGCCTTTGCTATCAGATTATCCATTGCTTAGTATCCTTGAACAGCTCTGGCTTACAGTGCTCCTCACTATGCCAGACCCTGGATAAGTACATGCACATACACCTTTTAACCATCTCTCCCACAATCTGGTTCCTTTACAGCACTTTCAGAGGAAGGAGAGTTCTTCCTCCAGTTCCAAATTTAACTGCTACATCAAGTATCCCCCCACCATTTCCTATATTATATAGGACACTTCCTCCACACAATTTCCTTCCTTGGATCCTATAAACTTATTGAAATTGCCCCTATCTTTAAAACAAATAAATTGGCTCTGAATCTTCCTCCACTGAATGGTTTCTTTCCCCTTCCCTTTTCCACCCAGCTGTGATTACTATTTGTACCTTTTATTCCTCTTTTACTCAGATTGTGATTATAAAATATGGAGGTTTGGTTTTGTTTTTAAAAATACTCTATTAGGTAATGTATAAAAATAGAAAGAAGAAAAATTTAAATTTCTATTAATATCATCACCCATTAACTGTCATGTTTTCTATTTATGCATTAACATTTTCCATGTATAAATATTTAATTGTGTTACCAGTAGTTAAGCATACTCTTTAAAACCCCTTAATGTCATTATCATATCTTAAAGAAAATAGCAAAACTTCCTTAATATCATTAAATCTCCTTTACTGTAATACTTAGATAACTATTTTGCCAGATTTTTCTTTTGTTTCTAGATATGTAGAAACAAAAATTCGTTTTAATTTAAAAATGCAATCTTATTATAAATTCTACTTAGTCCCCTGTTCTTTCTGTTTACCAAGCTTTTGAATCTTTCAAAATTACTCTGTAGCTCTACATCATCATTTAAAAAATTGGACAGGAATCCTTATATAAATATCATTAATTTATATTATCTGTAATATATATGTGCCCATAAAGTTTTATGTTATTATCCTTTGTCTATTGTAAACAACTACTTTGAAATTTGCATTTTATTTTGTTTTGGCTTTTGTGCTTTTTCATTTTGGGTGGAATGAGGCTACATCTCATCCTTGAGCCTCTGGAAATTAGCCTATCTGAGACTCAGATTAAGAATTAACTTCAGGGGCCCTCCCTGGTGATGCAGTAGATTAAAGTGCAGCACTGTGAAGCTATCCACAGCCACTGCAGCATGGACTCGATCCCTGACCAGGGAGCTGACCCACATGGCACAGCAGACCTCTCCTGTCTTACCTGCTGCTCCCCTCAGCAGTACTTCAGTAGACTTGTCTGTTCTGCTTCCCACTCTGCCGCTGGTGAATCCTCTTATCCTCTGCACTTCTGGCCTGTACCCCAGTTCTTGTGTGCATAAATAAATAAACCTTAAAAAAATATTTAATTTCATATTTTTTTCAAACACTTAATCTATTTATCCAAACCTATTCACTCTTTAGCATTCACAGGTCTCACCTGTACCAATCCTGTAGTCAGAAAAGGACATCTATAAATTCTTAAGTGATTCTTCAGCTTTTGTTTACTTTTTTGCAGGTTTTGAATTTTTTTTAACTCCCTTATTTGGCAACTGGCTTGTCTTTAGGCTTCTGCAGAATCACTTTCCTGGATTTTCTCTTAAGCCTGATTTCTCCTGTCTTGGTTATCCTTATTGGATCTTCTTTCTCTCTGTGTTTCGGTACTCTCTGGGGTGTTAATGTGACTATACCTTTTATTTTGCATCTTGTTTTTGGACAACTCAGACCAGTGAGCAGGCAATTACTATAGAACTGGTTAGGCTCTGATGGGGGGAATTGGTAAGATGTGAGCACCTTCAGAGACCCAGGCCAGCCTGGAATATGAAGAGTGGACAGCAGCTCTGCACACAGGAAAACAGGATTCCAGGCTCCCTGGTGAGATATGAGCCTGGACAATCAGGCTGAAGCCAGCACCCATGGGGCTGTGTATGTCAGTCATACTAAGGGGCCTGAATTTTGTTCTGTTTGGTACATTTTTTCCATGTTCTTGGGACATTTTGAGCTTTATCATTTCATCTTCTGAGGTACGCACTAATCTGCAATGTAAGAGTATCTTTTCTTCATGCCATAGAGACAAGATACTGTTATTGTTCTATTGCCTACAAAAAGAAACCGGTAAAGAAGATGTGCTGGGGACTGAGAGGGTTTGCAGACAGTCAGGCTTCTCTAGTCATTTCATTTAAAATAAAGAATGTTAACGGGATAATATGTGTGTTTTCTTGGAACTTCAAAATATTTATTTAATCATCAGATGTACCCAGCCTGGGGCCTGAGATAAAATTTTAAGTTCTACAACACTTACAAAGCAAACTCAGACCTGAAAGCAAGGTCTACCACAGCAGGGTTGAATCAATGTGCCTTGCAAATGTCATTTTCGCTAGACCAAGTTTCTCTCCGGAGGGTGCACTTCTTACAGCTACAGGGGTGCGGGGTTCAGACAAGCTGGTGTCAGCTCTTAGATCACACCAGTCTGTTTGTCCACCATCAGCAGCTCACTTTTCTGACACCTCCAATCCAAGTCCCCGCACAGAATGCTTCTCCTTTAGCCAGTTTAAGCAGTCACAGTGTAAAATGTGAAAGTAACAAGTAGTCACCCCATGCCTTCTACCCTGATGGGGACACACTTCTACTTTAAACCTTACCCTTACAAGATAAACTTTCCAGGAAGGCATTCCTCACCCTTCATGAATTCCTATACTTGGAAAATAAGAAGTCTTATTCCTGGTCAGTGTAGTGAATTTTCCCATAGAACATACTGCTGGTAAATCAGAACATGCCTGTATTTTCATATAGATCAAATTCAGTTGGGGGAAAAATATTGCTGGAGTTCAAGGCTAAGGAAATAGTACTGAGAGTTACTGTAATTATACGTGCTGTCTCTTGTTTTTTGTTTTTTTTGTTTTGTTTTGTTTTGTTTTGCAGCCTGCTGCTCCCCCAGAGGACACCCCTGAACTTAGTGCCTTTTTGCGAAACTCGACCATCCCTCATCTTATCAGGAAGAGAGATGTGCCTATGCCAGAGTCCCAAAGACAAAGCCCCACAAAAATTCTGGTGCGTTATCTCAGTGTGCATCTAGTTAAGGGGAAGAATTAGATTGGACAGAATTCCCAAATACACATGGTTTTAACTTCAAGTGTTGTTTTACAGTCTTCTCCAATGCGCAGATATGCCTGATGTTTTTTGGCAGTACATATTGTGAGAGAGGAAAGTAGTGTTTCTGTGGGCACAAAGGAACAATTGCAATGTAACATTTTCATTCTTTTAAAACTGCCATGCAGGCCACATTAGCGCAATAATGATGAAAACAGAAAGTGTGCCCTTTAGTCCATTTCAAGAATGTAAAGATTGCATCAGCTCATGGGTAGACTCAGCAGTAAAAGTTTGCAGTGGGCCTGGAGAAGCCCAGCCCAAGCCCCCGGACTTTGGAAATTGGTTCTTTCCTGGTTCTCAGAGCCCTCATCCTGTCCAGAAGAGCGAGCGAGAGTGGTGGGTTTCATCTGTGGTAGATCTAGGCTGAGCTGAGTCAGCCTTTCACAAAATTGTAATTCTCCATTAGTTCCAGTGTGAATGCTAACTTTAAAAAAAAAAAAATGGGTTTCAAAAAACAGGTCTTAAACATTCTCTGACATGAATTTTTTTTTTAAAGATTTATTTATTCATACAGAACTGAGGTACAGGCCAGAGATGAGGAGGGTGAGAGGATTCACCAGAGACAAAGTGGGGAGCAGAACAGGCAGATCGGCGAAGTACACTGCTGAGGGGCGCAGCGGGCGGGTCAGGAGAGGTCTGCCGAGCCATGTGGGTCTCCGCTGGGGTAGGCGGAATCTAACACATGCGGAAGTGACTTAAGCTTCTTAGTGCTGTGCTTTAACCCGCTGTGCTACTAGGGAGGGCCCTGACATGAATTTTTTAATGAAACTGACAGTATAAAATTTTTCAAAGATGGAAATGGACAGAAAAGTAAAAGGAACAAGTCTGACTTAATTGGTCAAAATTAAATCAAGAGAGGAATGTTTGTGATCAAGCACTTGAAATTACATGGCAAGAGGCTGTGTCGGTTGGCAAATTGTAACTGAAATCCCTATTAATTTTTATGACTATGTAATATTGTTTTAACATAAGAGCAGGAAATTAACATGCTACTCAGTTTAGAATAAATTAACAATTCCATCTATTTTTTTAAAAAATGCTTCTAAGAACAATAGAAAACAATGATTGACATCGATAGAATTCTCCTATGCAATACCAGTAGAAACCCCTTGGAAAACCAATTATCCTTGAAGGATAAACAATTTGGAAAATCAAGGTCAAAATATGATTTTTCTGTTTCCTCTTTAGCATATGTCTCAGGAGTCCACAGAGATAGTAGAGATCAATGACTAAAACTCTTGAAAATTAGCTGCTCTTGTGCTATGAGATTTTTTTCCCTCTACTTTTTTCTCATTAAAGATTTTTTTCAGGTCAGATTATTTTTAACTTCTGAGTATCACTGAAATTTATTACTTGCAGATGAGAGCAAGGCAATCCTGATTTCTATATCTGATTTTGTTCTCTTTCTTATTAGTTCAAAAATTGCAAATCATACACCTTCCCATGTCCTCAAGTCAAAATAGTTCTGGAGAGAAAGCGATTATGCAAAGTTTATTCTAACGTCAAAAGCCAAATAAGACCTCCTACAGTTTTTGTTTAGTTAAAAACAACTTACTGAATCACATTACTGATTAGGAATTTTAAAGTGCAAAATGCCAACATCCTGTGTTGGGATAATAATTTCTCATTTGCATAGGAAAAATGTCTTTCTGTTACACTGAGATGTCATTTCTCCTCTGCCTAAAACTTTCCTGGCTTTTCTCTGCTGCTTTGATAGTTATCACCCCATCTCTTCAGTGCTCAGCTTACAGAAACCTTATCTCTCTAACCCTCTCTAACAGCTGATACTATTGGCTACTTCCTGAAACAATAGCATTCCTCTGCTTCCCTCCAAACATTCTCTCCCTGTTGTCTTCCTACCTTTTGGCGCACCTCAGCATTTTTGTGGACTTGTCTTCTCCCATCCTCACATGCTCCTGAACCTCAGTATTTGTCGTTGGCTAGGTCAACAAACATTGTGAGCCTTTCAAGGGCTAAGATGACAGAAGACACACCTTGGGATGACTGGATCATGCAAGAAACTTCCCTGAAGTTTCCATGTACTTATTCTTTACTCAAATTAATATTTTATGGATGAGGTGATTACAACTGAGGAAATGAAATATAAATAAAGACAGGCCCTCCCTGGTGGCACAGTGGGTTAAAGCACAGCACTAAGAAACTAGAGCCACTTCAGCATGAGTTCAATCCCCATCCTGGGAGGTGACCACATGGTGCAGCAGACCTCTCCTGACCCGCCCCCTGCTCCCCTCAGCAGTGCACTTTAACGATCTGGCCTGTTCTGCTCCCCATTCTGTCTCTGGTGGATCCTCTCACCGCCCCTGCATCTCTGGCCTGTACCCCAGTTCTGTATGCATAAATAAATAAATCTTTTTAAAAAGATAAATAAAAACAATTTGGTTCTCTATCATAATTTAAATATACTGATTTCCTATGACTGCTGGTTTGCTTTTTTTTTTCAGAACTGTACAAATATTGAGTGCATGCAAATCTCCTGTGTGGTGGGGCGACTGGAAGGAGGAGAAAGTGCAGTCCTGAAAGTCCAATCCCGGCTGTGGGCAGAGACATTTCTCCAGGTAACAGAAGAACTGGTGTACTTACAAAGTGATCCAGGGAACATTTTCTCAAAAGCTCAGAGAAAGATTTTTTAAGGGTTTTAAAATGTGTGCATACTTTTAGATCTTTTAATTTGCAATTTTTCACTTAAAAATTTTTAGATTGAACTTTTAAAATTTGAATTACAATGTTAACATTTGTAATCTTAAATAGCTTTTAAATTTTGAAAAAGAAATTTCTGTGGAGGAGGTGAGCCAAGAGCCAGTGGTCATCTTTTTTATCAGGTGAAAATAATTTCTTTCCAATTTTATTGAGATACTGTTTACATATAATTTTAAAGTACACAGTGTGATGATTAGATAAATGTATATAGTGAGAAATCATTATTTAATCAATCTAAATAGTAACTTCATCCTATGTGTGTACGCTAGTAACTTATTATCTACTTTCTTGACTTTCAAGTTTATAGTGGAGTATGTTTAATCATACTCACTGTGCTACACATTAGATCCTTAGAACTTACTCGACTTATAGCTAGAAGTTTATGCCCTTTGACATAAGCCTCTCTAACCTGCCCAGCGCCTGGTAACCATCATTTCTATTTTCTGTTTCTCTGAATTTGGCATGTTAAGATTCCACATATAAGTAACATCACACATTTGTCTTTCTCTGATTCATTTCACTTAGCAAAAGGCCCCCATTTCCATCCACATGTCCTTCTTTCTTATGACTGGATAATATTGTATTATACTTGGGGTATTTTTATTGTATTTACCAAAATCTGTATCATATATATATATATATGTATAATGTTATAAATAGTTATAATATTTATATAACACACAATGAAATTATAATTGCATAGTGTATATCATCACATGTAACACTATATATGAGTTAATTTAAATATCCTTAGTCTAGATGTACATTCATATATGTGTATATTAAGTGAAGGCAATTTAAATATAATGAATATCTATGACCTTTATACAATAAGATTCAAACAACTCTGTTTAGCTCTCTGCTTTCTCTACCCAGCACATAGCAATTCCACAGTAAACATTAGTCAGTGAAGTGTTGGTGAGTATAGAAACACAATTTAAGCCATATGCCCAATGAAATAAAAATAGAAGTCAATTTATAAGGGGAAAGGGAGATTGCCTTACAAAGTTTCACTGGCTTAGTGATCCTACAGCTTGGACTCTAGCCAGGAGAGCATCTCAATAAATATCCTGGTATGTGTGCTTAGTCCATTCCTTATTGCTTATCTGCATCATGGCATCCTATAGACGACCCCGTTGCCTCTGCATTTCAAAGATTTAAGTTTCTTTTATACTAAAGAGATGAAATTTTCCCTTTAGAAAGCATTCTTTATTTAAATGACACTACTGTGTTGTGACCTTATTGTTGTGACCTTATTGTTTTAGAAAGATTTTGTAGGGAAGCCCTACCAAATCTATACATTCTTGTGCATCTAATTCAGCATATCACAGAAAATCAAATGGAAAAATTCTCTTGAGCTCTGCTAATACGTACAGAATTTTGTAGCTCTGTATTTTTATGTTTGCTACCATTCAAAATATGTTATATTCTCACAAATCTTGTTTTTGTTTCTGAAATTAGCTGTCATGAAATTAAATGTGTTTTTTAAGAGGCAGTTGTGAAGTCCCCTTTTATCTTTCTAATCCAAGGCAGAATTCCTCTGCCTTAGCACTCTTAATATTTTGGGTCCTATCGCTCTTGCTGTTGAAGTTTGCCCTGTGCATGGTAGAATGTTTAACAACATTCCTGGCCTCCACCTACTAGATACCAGTGACAACTTACACCCCAGTGCAACAACCAAAATGTCTCCAATATTGTCAGTGTTCCAGGTGGCAGAAGACCCCTGGTTTTGAACAACTGATCTTTGGAGAACTGCAGTGCACAATTTACTTGATTCTTTTTCTTCTGTTGGTTCAGTAATTATTTACTCATTTACTCAACAAATGTTTCTAGAGTGTCAACTATGTACTAGGCACTACCTCCAGTACCACTAGCATTCCATCAATCTGCTCAGAATACTCTGCTTTGGGGCTGTTACACCTTATCTAAGAGTTCATTTAGCCCACAAAGGCTAAAGAGAACCTACATTCCTCCTATGGGCAGGCACCACATGCTACTGAAATGAAAAGTGTGTTCCAATGAAGCAGGACCTCAATCAAGACAACAGGGGACATCAAGAGGAAAATGGTTTACTTTAGACATCATGTCTCGTTATATGTCCAACACTCTGTTCCAGTAGGAGACTTATAGAGTGAAAATAGCATCTTCATTTTCCTGTTAAGAAGATCCAGTGAGACTGGAAGAAGTCAACAGCAATAAGGGACTTTCCAAACAATATGTATTTAGCACAAGTAGAGTCAGACCACAACAGTATCTAGGGATGTCCTATCAGAGCAAAGTGCCATTTGCAAAATACAGGATAGAGTCTCATGTCACTGCATATTGACACACATCCATAGCCCAAATCTGAACTTCCAACACAGTTCCTGATTATTCCAGTTTATAGCTATAGGCGAATAGAAATAAAGTCTTTAGTGAATTCTTCTGCAACCCAGAAGGTGGTAAACAATTTTTTCCATCCTAATTCAGGATAGAAAGTTTCCAAAACTTGGCTGACAGGATTTGCTACACTATGTTTGTTCCTTTCCACATGGTGAACATGCACACTGTTCAGGAAAAGGATTTTATTTAGGTTAATCCTAAATGATTTCCGGTTCTGTGAGTTCTCCTTCCAACAAAAACTTCCTTTGCAGTTTCAAATTTTACCAGTAATTGCATAGGTTTTGTCTTCTCACAAGCGTTTGTTTCTGGTAAGTGCTGAGTATTTAAACATGGTCTATATCAAATGGGTATGTGGTTAAAAATAGTTTTTAGGAGGAATTAAGCAGTGGGATGGTGGAATTGGTAGAAGTTATGATGCCCCCAACCACACTAGGTATGTAACCAACTCAGAAGCCTCACTCTGGTTACCAACCCTGTGACTTTTATTAACACCTCTACCGTAAGTAAATTATTGTGTGAAAATATAGAACAGAAGCAACAAAACATAGCTTAAATGAGTCATTAATGACAGAAGAATGGGTATTTCTGAAAATTAATAACTAACAGCCGCAAGTTGAAGATCCAAGACATTGTCGAGGAATAATAACTCCAGCTGCTTTTTCTACCCTAAATTGCCCACAATAAGACAGCAATTACAATTACATGAGTAGGTTGTTATGTGGAAGAGGAGACTTTTTTAATCTAATAAAAATATAATTGTGATGTTATAATGCATGGCTGAAAGCACCCAACTTTGAACTTGGAATCAATAACATGAATCTGCTCAAAATTGTTCTCGTGAATTAAGTACTTGGTGGTGCCGAGTCTTCAAACTACAGTAACAGTACTAATGTATTTTTGACATTGATTCAGGCTATCATAATCTTGATAGATCACAATTCCAATTCCTTTGGAGTCTAGACCTCTGAGAAATAAAAAAAAATTTTTTTTTAGATGTGTTAGCCAACTGAATGACTGGAGTATCCTAAAGACTTTTTATTGAGGTGATAGTTTATTGCCCTGTATATGCTTTAGGAGTACAGGTCCACACCTTTTCAAATGAATGTTTCCACACCACACCCACCACCAAAATACAAACAATCCTCCACCATAGCTCACTGGATACCATCCACCCTTTGCTTTTTATTCCTATAACCTCAGGTCCATGGGTTTGTTTTGTGGTTTGATTGCTCCTTTGTTTTGCTTTTCGCATTCCACGTAGAAGCAAAATCATCTGGTATGTGTTCTTTTTCCTTCTGGCTCATTTTGCTTAGCATAATTCCCTCCTGTGTCATCCATGTTGCCACTAATGGCACAATTTCATCTTTCTTTACAGCTGAATGGTATCTCCTTGGGTGGATATGCCGCATCTTCACAGCCACTCATCCACTGTTATGGAAACACTGTTTCCCTAGCTTGGTTATTGTAAATATGACTCAATGAACATAGATGTGCATATATTCCTTCAAATTAGAGTTTTTGTTTTAAATGCCTAGGAGAGGGATTGCTGGATCATATGGTAGATCTATTTTTAATGTTTTTAGAAATCTCCAAAACAGAACTTTCAGAAAATTCCATGGAGGATGGATCAGTGTATGGTTCTACAAGTAGTGTACTAAGTTTCTTTTTCCTCCAATCCCTTGCTAAAACTTGTTGTTGCTGGTCTTTTTTATATGGGATATTCTCACAAGGACGTGGTAGTGTTTCATTTTGGTTTTTTGATGAGTATTTTTTTCATGCCATCTGTGCATCTTTTTTGGAGGATGGATGGATGGATGGATGGATGGATGGATGGATGGATGGATGGATGGATGGATGGATGGATGGATGGATGAATGGATGGATGGATGGGTAAATGATGGGGTAAAAATAAAAGAAAGGGGAAAATGGAAAACAATTGTGTGCCAGGATAAATTTTTTCCAGTAGAATTTTAAAAAGATTTATATAAATCTTTTTGTTTCAGAGAAAAAATGATCCCTATTCTCTTGCATCCCTGGTGTCCTTTCAAGTTAAGAAGATGCCTTATAGAGATCAGCCAGCAAAACTCCCGGAAGGAAACATAGCAGTGAGTATCTTTTAAACATACATAGAGGCATAAAGAATTTCACTGTAATAATAATTTTTTTAATCACTGGTCAGCTTGTGTTAGGTTTAAGTGCCTGCATTGATTTGAGAAGTTTCCTCCTTCAGATCACTCTTTTCTTATTCCAGTCTAGAAATCTCTTAGCTAAAATCATATATGTGTATATATATATATGTGTGTGTGTGTGTATAAATATATAGATATATATAAATTATATGTACTATTTAAATCATATATATATATATATTGATTAGGTAAAGTCAAATATATAAAAACAAATTTATAAAAGTTCAATATAAATTTATACCCCAAAAATTATAGGGCATGACTAATACCACTTTTTAATCAAATCATTTTGTTAGAAACTTAAGAACAGACTTCTCCCCAGACCTGGTGAGTCAGAGATTCTGCATTTTATCAAAATCATCTGGGCAGCATATGCACAGCAAAGGTTGAGAAGTTCTGCTTTGGGTGGTATATAAGCCGCTGCTATTGTTATTGCTCATCACAATATTTAATGTGATTATTTAATGTAATTAAATATTACAGGTATTTAATAATGTACTTAATATACAGTTATATTAGCTAGCTTTAATCTTTCTAGCTTAATCTACTTTTAGTAGGTTCAGTTAATCCATTGATTAGTGATTTTTCGGCCCCAAGTATGCAAAAGGATCATCTTTGTAGATGATTTTACAGACACACATGCACTAAGACCTTACTCAAGTTGCCAGGTTGAGCAGGTCCAGGATGGGGCCTTGGCAGGGTGCATTATGAGCTCTAGAAGTGAGGAATCGGTAATGGAGCCATTTCTAAGAACCTCCAGCACAGAGGAAAATCCACAACCATCCAAATAGATCTTCCTGGCTGCACCTCACTCTCATTAGGGAATCTAAGAAAATCACTGACTTATAATTTATAAAATTATGTCTCAAAAGCCTTAGCACTGTACCTGGTACAACGTAAGTCTCCAGTCTGAGTAAATGTTTATAACCTTCCCCAAAATGTAAGGTTGAAACGGGATTTCACCAACTATGCCTATAAACTTTGGTAGCATTTTAAAGCAAGAGCTGCTACATCTTTCTTCATTTACCTCATCTTCTTCTCTCAGAAGATGTCTGCTGTAGTTTGGATTTATGTTCAACCTAAAAAACAGAGGCTTTGGCGTTTTTAATATAGAGTGTTCATCCAAAGAGGTTCAAAGGCTTGTAGCTCTAAGGGAGATAAATCTGGGCTCTTTTGTTTTCTCTCACATATGTTCCCTAGCAGAAACACATGTCACAGCCGATTCCATCAGCACTGCTGCACCATTCTGTGCTGGCCACAGGTGACAGCCTGCTGTTCTCAGCTCATCTCAAAAGAGGCACAAAGTGCTCAAACGCATGCCTCCCTGTCCCCTCCACTGCTGTTACTGCTTTTTTAAAGTCTTGTTATCTGATGTAGGTGATTTACCACATGCCTTATGTAAAGGTTATTGGGAAGACATTTAGAAATGGAGGTGTTCCTAGGTCTCCCCATAACCTTTGACTCAGGAGAGACGATCTTGCCAGGAGAAAGTTGATTGGGAAACAATTTTTCAGTGGCTTAGTGTGAAGGAACTCTGCTTGCAATAGTAAAATCTTCTCAAACATCTTGAACTTTATCTTGAAAAGAGTTCAGCAGAAGGGAGTTGCTTGAAGGCCGTAAACTAGTTGGAATATGTAGTTTGAGAATCATCAAAGTTCTACCTCGTATTTCGACAAAAGTGGCTATTCCTCCCTTTGTAAAGAAACTCAGTAGTGTTTGCTTGTTTTCCTTGGCCTCTGTATGGGATGGTGAGTCTGTTGATACTCCCTTTCAACATGGTCGTAATTCAGTAATTTCTTGAGGTCTAGATATCTTCACATAGTAAAGGAAATAGATATCCCATTCCGCTTCTTGCAGACTGTCTGTGTTTACAAGTAAGCTCCTCTTGTGACACGACCCTTGTCATGTCCAGAGGTAAGGGAATGGTTACAATGCCAAATTGTTCCAACATGGTAGAAAAGAAATGATTCAGTCAATTAAACAACTTTTTAATTACCAATGAACTTGGCATCCCCAATGCCAAGACAAATTCCTTAATTTATAGTTAGAAAGGATTATTACCTATTAAAACCCCAAAAGATAGTTATAAATACTACATAAAATTCTAATTTAAGAACCCATCCAGAAACTGTGAACCCATTGGATATTCAGAATTGTGAGGCAAACTTAGGGCCTTAAAGCAGAATTCTTATATTGAACAACTGAAGCTCAAAATTAAGGACTGCTTGATAAGCACCCTGATAAGGGGTTACTTAAATGTTTTTAAAATGTGTGTTCAACTGGTTACCTTTGTGTTATTATTTTGTTTTAAATGGCATTATAGGTAAGGTGTCTTGGTATATTTATTTAAAACATTCTTGTGACCCCACTGAAGTATGTTTATACAAGATTTTGCAATACATAAATACAGATGTCAGCATTCATTACAATTGCAATTACAAGGGGGCTTTTCCCTTTTACCTGGTATTTTGTCAAAATATACAAAACCATATCATAAATGTCAATATTAAAATGTAAGCATATTAAATTTTATTTATGGTCTTTCTACCATAGTAAAAAACAAGAAGATTTATAACATGATGAAGGTAAGATTAAATGTTCTCTACTTAACATCACTTTAGGAAAATCTAAACCACTTAAAATTTATGGATCCCACTTCCTAAAATTGCAGATAATTTTAACAAGTGACTTGTTAAGAGCTTATATTATTCCTTCAAAAGAGCTATAGCAGTAAAACAGTTTGTTTATTAATTGGCATACAATGAATTTTTCTTCCTAAAATTTAAGGGCAACACTTACTTAATGTTACCCTTCTTCTTTAAAGTACTACTTACAGAAATAATTTTTCATTTATTTCAAATAATATTTATGAACCCCCATGTAATCACAAGCCCACATTCTTAAAGTAAACTTTTAGTTTAAATATACCCCAGGGGACTACAATGATGTAAGAAAAAACATTTTTTAATTAATTTTTTTTAAGTATATTCCATCTTCAGCTTTGGGACCACTTCTTAGTTAAAGACTCTTATGAAGCTGGGCTTGGGTAATTCAGCAAACCACACCCTTGTGTGAGAATATACAAAATATTCTGAAGCTTCTAAATCTAGTATGGTAACAACATGTACATAGTGTCTGAAATGTGGCTTCTATGCCTAAAGAACTGAACTAGTGTTTTTATTTTAGTGTTTTATTTTTTAGTTTTATTTTATTTTAACTTATTTAAATGTAACCTTAAAACTGTAGCAATAAAAATATGTTTCATTAAATTCCGTTTAATCATTGAGAGGACTCCATTTCACTTTAACCACTGAAAAATACAGTCATTGTAATGTGTTGCAGATATAAAATATATGCTAGATTTGAAAAACTTAGTAAAACAAACATGGATGTCAATATCTAGTAAAAATTTTAACATCAATTATATATTGAACTGATCACAGTTTTGATATTTGGGTTTAATGAAATATATTATCAAAACCAGTGCCCTGTTTCTTTTTTTAATGTTGCTACTCTGAAATATTAAGTTCCACATGTGGCTTGTATTCTGCTCACACTGGACAAGTCTGATCTGAGCAGGGCTACAGAAGATCCCAGCTCAGAGCAGATGGTAACACCCAGAGAGCTTCAAAGAATGCAGATGCTTAATAACTATTATTTGAAATGAATGAAAAATTCTTCATAAATCACTGTTTAGTTACTAGAAACTCTAAAAACTAAAACCTACTTTATTCATGACTAATGATTATCCAGTGGATTATGTAAGCTCCCTGTGGGCTTGTCAAAATGAGCTACAAGGCAAATGTAAATATTAAGAATAACAAAGCTTTGGTATTTTTCAACATTTTGTTTCTTGGCCAGGCTTTCCTAAAATGATTATGCAATTTCCATAGCACCAATGCAAATTTAAGTACATTTTGTTTTTGTAAAACTGATGGTATCATAAGCCTCTAAATCATGTACCGTGTTAATATGTAAACCAATGTTACCTCAATACAAAAATTAAGAAAAATTTAAGAAATTGTATTTTCCTGTTCAGCCTGATTATGCAGTTCAAATTTATTTATTCATACAGAGTAGTGAGTTTCAAGAAAAAGTTTCCTTTACCTGTTTCCACCTGCAGATGAAATGTCCCACTGGCATTTACAGATGTGAATGTCTCCTTAATCCCTGATTAATGTGTCTGATAACAGCCTCTCTCTACAGTATGCACCCCTCTTGCCATGATGTGTGGCATCTGACCCTTCAGCCACTTCTAGCCAGCCAGAGTCATCTAGCCACCTGGGAACCTGCAACATGCTTTGGGGCACTGTGGATTTTCTGAATTTTATGGAGTGACATCTGACTCTGCAGTGAAAAACGTAGATTCATTTAGGAAAACTCCGGGACACAGACAGGTCTTTGGGCTGCACCCACAATAGACTGAGAAGTCCGGGGTGCCTCAGGGTCACATGGATATCTTAAAGGAAAGAAGGATCCAGGCACAGGAGAACAGACACTCCAGGCTTGCTTCTTTTTAAAACTCTTTATGGCCTTTTTTCTTAATTAACGACATATGACATAGAAGAAATGGATATGTCATATGTAACCCTAACATTTAAAGTACTCAGAGAAAGAGCGTGAAGTGGTTGTTTCAAAAGAACATAATGAAAGTAGACTGACACCAGTTTTGATGATGAGAATTTCAGAATTTCAGAATTTTCAGAACTGAAAAGGATGGCGATGATAGTCTATTTTCAGACTTTTAAAAGAGACTGCTGTCAGAATTCTTGGAAGTGAATGCAAACAAAAAGCCAGTAGATTTTCTAACTATATCAAAAAAAGCTGTTTTCTGCCTCAAACGACACTAATAAATTTATCCTGTTCAACTCAGTTTTATATTTAGACTTGTCCATAACTACTGAAGAATTTTAAATATTATTTTTAGCTTTTTGTGAGATACCCTCCCTGCTTATGTCTACAGATATAAGTTTTATAGATAACTCATCAAAACCTACAATAGCCAAGTGGTAAAGAAACCCACAAATATTTTGTGAATATTCTCTTATTCCATCCCACTTCTTTTTATTAAACTAACACTGAACAGTTTATGGCCCTATTTCAACTTCTTTAGGATTTTTATTTACTTACAAAACTAGGACTATTTCCTGTGTTTCCTTTCCATGTGTTTCCTTTCCATGAAGTAGAAGAGGTGCCTTAAAATATTAATTAGCTAAATCAGGCAAAGGCAAGATTGAGAAATATGGTTACCTATCTTACTGTGAACCATCTGTTAGTAAATGTTGGCAATTTCAAACACTTGTATAGAATGTGGAATGACATTAGAGGATGATTTTGATTATTATATGGATCCTATCAGAACTGTCCCCAATATTACTTTGGTAATTACTGCTTTATTTCACCCAATGGTTCCAGCTCAATTGCTTTATTTTCTATTTCAGATCAAGACATCGGTTATTTGGGCAACTCCAAATGTTTCCTTCTCAATTCCATTATGGGTAATAATACTAGCAATTCTTCTTGGATTACTGGTTCTGGCCATTTTGACCTTAGCTTTATGGAAGGTAAGTTTATTTACTTTCTTTTCTTTTTAAGTAAAGAGGCAACTGAGGGGGATATTCTTAGGAATTTAAAAAGACAACACTAGTGGCACCATTTGAGAACTTTTAACAATATTAAATCTTGTTTGCTTTGGCAAACAATATGTTTATATAGCTGACACTTAAGGAGATCGAGGAAGTTTAACATTATTTTCATCTAAAGATTTCTTGTAAATAAATATATAGATATTTAGTCTTTATTAACTAAGACCTGTGGTCTTTCCCTATGCTTGGAGCAACAATGTAATTGTGAATATTTAATTTTTTTTATTGCTGTGGTTCTATCATCAATGTTTTTGAGAGTTTTCTTTATGAACAGTATACAAATACAAATGCAATTAACATATACCAATTCTGATTTTTTTTAACTTTGATTATCATTTAAGCCAAATAGATGACTTCTGTTATAATAACCTTGGAACTTTTTTTTTTTAACTTGCCAATTTAGACTCTCCATCAGTAAGCTGTAGCTTACTCTTTCATGTGTTTTACTAACATTGTTCTAAAAGGCTGTGATAGGAATTAGTTTCTGGCCTCAAACCAACACAACTGCCAAGTTTTACAAAGCTTTCAGTTGTCACAATTACATGACTATAAGTGTAATTAATCCAGTCACATCTTACTTAACCATTATTATCATGGTTCTCCAAAATCATAGGTTATTTTTGGCTTAAGATAATATGTAGTATGCTTAATAAATTGAGAAAACTGACTTGTGGGTTAAATCATCATCATCATCATCATCATCATGAGTTTTGTGCCATCTTAAGCCTATATGGTATACTATAAAAAAGTAAAAATAGACTTTTATGTTATTTAGAAATAAATGTCTATACTATTGTTATTATTATAGTAACTGTATTTCTATAAATAATACCGTGACATGTGCCTATTGACAGAATATAGTCCCAATCCTACCAACAAAAGCTGATGTAATAGTCATAAGCCAACCCAGTGAAGTAAGCTTCCAACTCAAGTCCAATAAAGAACTGAAGTTCCAAGTTTCTAGGAAAAGATATATTATCCAACACCAAATACCAACTTGAAATTCAAGAGAAGAGATACCAGAATCAATTCCTACCAAGTTGCTGGCCAATCTCTGGATATTCAACAAGGTGTTCTGAGATTGAAATAAATGACCAATCTAGTTTTCTGATCTATATTACATGTTCCATCGGTGCAGAGGAATATGCAACCATCTGCTCACACTCCCTCTAACACTTGCGAAGGGAGCCGAGCCTCCAGTACACAGAGGATCCCCCTTTCCTGGCCAACAGTTAGCATGCCTGCAGCTACAGAAAACATGGAGAAAAGCAGAAAGGGACTCCTGGGGCCATGTCGCTGCATTTGCAGGACAATATACAAAGTCAAGTGTTTTGTATAAAATATACATTTTCCCATTCTCACAATATTCCTGTGCTATGAATTCTTCTCTGCAGGTAAAGAACGCATTGTTTTCACCTCTGAATGTACAGGATAGCTCCAAATTCTTTTTTTTTAAGATTTATTTATTTATTCATACACAACTGGGGTACAAGCAGAGGTGCAGGGGCAGTGAGAGGATCATCAGAGACAGA